AGGTGGGAAAAGCCAGTTGGGATTTCAGTATTAATATATATATTTATTTTTTTTTCCCCTTCCTATCTACCTGGAAGATAAAGGGGGCACGAAGGGATTGGGGCTGTGCAGAGCAGGCACGGGCAGGACGCGGCTCTGGGGATCAGAGGGGTTGGGATGAAAGGGGCTTTTCCAAAAGGAGCTTTTCCAAAAGGAGCTTTTCCAAAAGGAGCTTTTCCAAAAGGGACTTTTCCAAAAGGAGCTTTTCCAGGGGGAAGTGGCTGTGCCTGGGTTGGGAAGGGATTCCTGTTCTTCCCAAAGCTGCTCTGCCCCAGGGACCCCACGGCCACGTCCCACCTGGGCCAGGAGCAGCTCCCACGCTCCCAGAGAACAGCAGGGCCTGACACAGACCAGGATCCAGCCCGGGGAGAAACACCTGCGTGGGATGTTTCAAATTGCTCAGGGGATTCTTCCCAAAAAATCTCAGGATCTGGGTAAAATGAACGAGCAGAGATCATTCTGAGTCTGTGCTTAGCAATCAGTCTACTGGAAGCTTCTCAAGGCCTGAAGGTCTCCTCAAGGCCTTCACAAAGCCCTGACGCCTTCCCAAGGTCTCCTCAAGGTTTCCTCAAGCTCTTCTCAAGGTTTTCCTTCCTGATTCTGAGAGATTTCAAAGAGAAACTTGGAATCAGCCGGCACATGGGAACGTTTGCTCTGGAGATGAGCGACTTGTGGCCAACCTGCCTCCAGATCTCCTGAGAGCTGTGGGAGGGATTGAGGCCGTAATTCCTCCGTTTTCCCTTCCTTGTGCGTGAACGAGCTGCCACAAAAAAGTTCTCCATGATGGCAAAGAAGCCCAGGAGGAGAAAGCACGGATCTGCAGCTGATGAGAGAGGCGGGCACCAACAGGGAGGACAGAGGCTCCATGTCAGAAGGATCACGTTCTCCACGTGAGGGACAGAAGTGACTCTGCTCAGACCCTTGGGAAGTCACCTTGCTAAGGGTCACGCTGTCCTGCGCTCAGCTGGGACATAAAACAGGGAACTCTGGCAAATTTACTCTCCATCAGCTCTGACACGTCGAGGTGACCGCAGGGTTTTAGTGGTGCTGAGCTCTCCCCTGGCACAGAACCCGCGGGGGTCACTCCGGAGGACGTCTCATACATTCCAAAGGGGAATTCCAGATTCATACAAGTACGACCAGAAAATAAAACTCCCAAGGTTTCCAATGGGGACTGAAATTCAGCTGGAGAGGGACCTGGCTCCTCCCAGCGTGGTGTGGCAGAGCCGCCGGCGCGGCAGCAGCAGCAGCAGC